CAGGTGTGATTGTGGTTTAGACTCAAGCTTATGTTTTTGTTAAAATTTCGTTTAACGAATTAAGGTAAAATTTCTTAATCGGAATTTAATTTCTAGTGCCCATTGGAATTCAAATTTTCCACTGGTTCAGATTTTTGGTTTTTCTCCGATCCGAATTTTTGAATTCATGTATGTTCAATTAACCTTAAAATCTCAATGGTGTCTTTTGAGCTACTTGTGTCTTCTAGGTTGCATATATTCGCATGGTAACTGTCCAAATCTATCACCATTCTGTCTTTAAATAATCCATATAGAATAAGGAAGTCATTAGCATTCATAATTTCGAAATTAAACATTCTGCATTTTTTGAGAGTATAACACACAATTCTGGTTCGCCAGACATTTAGATTGGAATGCTAGGTCTAAGTGCGTGAAGATCATTGTATTTTGGAAGATAGACACATTGATTTTCATAAACACAAAGAGTGGAAGTGAAATTTGTCTTAAAGACATAGTGTTAAACACTAGCCTTAATTTACATGAAATTCAATCATAGTTCCCGATTTGCAAACGAGTCAGTTTATTTATTATTTAATTATAAATTTGTGTATTACTGTTTCATTCTTGATTGTTGTAGTTTTATTCTAAATTATGTGATATAATCAACGATTTTAATAAGTGATTTTATTATATTTAAAAATTATTATTAATAGAATGCATGCACAAAAATGGGTAGAATTAGACTAGGAAGCAGACCCAATAAAGTCTAGAGTTTTGAGTAAAAGAGGACATTATCTTGTAAGGAACGGGCCTTATCTGAATGGATAGATAAGCAATTCCAAGAAGATTGAGCTGGTATCATAAAACCGAGCAAATCAATGGCTAGGCCATCTTGCAAAATCAGATGCGGTGCAGCCAATAAAAAAATTCCTTAAATTGTAGAGGCACATTGGAAACACGTCACATAAAAAATCGACAAATGAAAAAGGAAGTGAAAAAGATCCTTATATGAATAAAGAAAGATTTGGTTAAAAAATAGGTATTCCACCTTGTACAACCAATGATGAAAATATTTGAAGATGGTACAAAATTACTATAAATACCAAAGAATGCTTTAGCCTACGATTCAGAGCCCCTACAATTAAACCCTATTCACTATAGAATATAGATTGCTGTGGTTTTTTGGTTGAAGATGGTCATAGATAGTGTTCACCCTATATTACACAGGTAGAAATTATAATATTTTATTTTCTTATTCGATATCTTGTAGAAGATTTTTTTTTTGACTTATCCTACCCAATTAAACGTACTATTCTTATCCAAATTTCATCCAAAACATTCAGATAGGAAATCGGATAAACACATATTTTTTAGTTATTAAGTTTTGGATAATTTTAACAATTTAATTAAGTAACATGCATCAATTAATTAAAATAATAAACTAATAACAGTAAAAAAACACAATAAATTTGATAATATATAAACAATTACAATAAAACACAATAAGAAAATCATAAACATCAATAAATCGTATTATATCTGATCTTTCTTGTTAACTTCCCCCACCTTGGATAGAAGACCCTCTTTATTTTTGTACACCATTTCTCATTTGTATTGTGGAACCAATTAGGAACAAAATTTTTTTTTTTTTTGAATGTTATTGTATTCTATTCATGTTCGGATTATATGATTTAAAATTTATATCAAATACTAGTTAACAATAAGTTGATCTATTTAATTAACCGTGTTAGATGATTGACACCAACCAAACTTGCTTATTAATTGTTTTCCTGAAAGAGGGCGCTTTCTCTCACGCCAACAGTCTTCTACTTCTGGTCAATTGCTCTCTACTTTCTTCTCCGACTCAACATTTTGATAAACACAATTTGTGAATTAGAAGTTTAAAATTAGAAATACATTATTCTTTTCATAATTTGAAATCCACCCGGTTTAGATATTTAGGAGAATGGAGTTAAAAATTCTCTCAATTTTTTTTTATAAAAAAGAAAACTTTTACCATGTGATAATTGAAAACATAAAGAAAACCCATCAATCTAAACATATTTGTCAAACTTATAATTCATTTGTTATTTGTACTTTGGGTTCGTAATACAAATTAGTGAATCACCATTTATTAATTTTATATTGAATTAATGTCGGGAAAATATAAATATAATATTTAAATTGGTTAGATCAGACAGATCCTATATTTATGTTTGTGCCATTGTTTTCTATCTGATTTCTGATGCATTTAAAGGGGACGTAAATATGGACTTAATGTCCTTCTGTCAGAGACCTTTAAGGGGGGTTAGTTGGCCAACCTCTCTTCCAATTAATGTAATTCAATTGACAAAACCCAGTTTTTTCCCACACAGCAACTCTGGTCCCACACCTGTGGGCCCCAGTTACATGTGATATGGTCGTTTGCTGGTGCCACCCCCACAGCCTGTTTTGACAGAGGGGATTCAAACTTGAGCACAATTGCAACTTGTTTTTTTGAACGTTTAGGAATATTAGAATTAGTTTACATGCATTTTAATTAATTTTTTCTATTTAATTAATTTTTTTTTTAATTTCAAAATGAACAACTAGTTCAATTATAAGAAATTAAAATTAGGGTTCAAATTTATCCAATTCGTTATTGGTAAGTGACTCACGTTAATATGATGAGACTTGTTATTTTTAATATTATTCATCATCTGGATACGAAATGAACATTAAATTATTATAAGTCTGACATTTAACAATTTTAGTTCAAAATCAGATTGATTGAAAAAGAATTGTTTGACAAATAGTTGATTTAAATGTGATGTATATGATGTAAACACAAGTATATACAATTTATCCATGGCGACAAGCCTAACACCATATACATTAACCTAAAAAAAGAATCATTTTGGGAGAGTTTGGTTGAATCTCTCTATGTTTGTTTTGGTAGTTGAAGATGTTTCAAACTCCAAAACTAAAAGCAACTATCTCTAATTATGATGAAGTGTGAGAGACTTCCATTTATGGGTAAACAAAAGGAAATGTTTAATTACATTTCCATTAGTTATATATTTTTGGTACAAGAATAAAGAATTCCATCATACTATGAGTGGGCACTGGGCACCTCTAACACTCTCAGAGATCAATCGGTCAATCTCATATAAGGCAATGCATTTAAGAGGCACAAGTGCTTTGTATCTGGACAGGTACTTGACAGTAGACCTGAAGGCTAGGAATTTTAGGATTATGGTGTTTTTTCATGGTATTTTTATTCAATTTTAATTAATAGTAGATTAAATGCGTAAAATATTAAAGAATAGATCAAGTAATAACATAAATAAATTATAAATTCAGATATCGTGTATTCGAATCTTGACAATTATTTAAAGACAGACTATGAGAGATTTATTTCACAACCTTAATTCTGTTGTGGATAACCTGTTTTTAACGGAACTAAGAAGGAAATAAATCAAAGTGAGTAAAAATTTATCCCGACATTACTGACCATCGAACAAAAATTTAAAAAATAGATCAAATATGATAAATTTTAGCGAAATGAAAGTAAATGTCAATGACCTACCATTTTATTTGAGAATTAAATGTGTCCGAAAAAGTTTAGTCGAGAGTGGGAGAGGACCGAATGTCTCACAATTAGTGAGAATAGGAAATCGATATCATCATCAACATCAACGTTCAAAACTCTTACCAAAAATATTTCAACCAACATGAAACAGTGCATGTCCACGGGTCGGATTGGTTCGGGATGGCCCGGTTCAACCCACAAAGAGGCCCCCAAGCCCGTGGTCTGGCCCGTAACATAGCTTGCCTACCCACCCAACCGATAAAATCCGCCCATATTAAAGCCTGCCAAAAAATCAACGTTTCGAGTACTATTTTTAATGTTAATTCATAAGTTTTATATATAAAGAATATAAAAGGCTTGTTTGTTTACGGGGTTTGGAAAATTTGGAAGGGCAGTTTAAGAAAAATAGTTCGATCAATCTCATAATTCCCTGTTTGGTTCTTCTATACCTAATAAAATATCTTATTTATCAAATCACATCTCAACCCCTAATTATTTCTCTTTATAATTAAACAAACATGAACATTGATTGGATTGATCAATGGATAATACAGTCATTTATAAAATAAATGTGTGTTGATAATTGTGATAAATTCATTGGTCCTATATGTATATATGTCACTAAACGCAAGCATGGATATGATTCATATATGAATTTCATACAGGTGGAAATTGAGTTTGAAAGGGTTTGATAAAATCAATCAAATCTCTTATCTCAAAACCATCCAACCATGCCCAAAATATGGCATAGTCATAAATTTCAAAATTTAAACTATTTTTTTTTACGAGGGCGGATTGAGACTGAAATGCGCATGACCCGTCCATTAATCAGAGTCATGGCCATGGGCCGAGCCATGGTCCACGTCCTCAAACCCGCAGCCCGACCCGGCTATTTGACCCTTTTTTCTTTTTTTGACTGCACCCTCCATGGACACTCCTAGTGATCGTCATTTATACCGAGGAGTAATGGCGGGGTTGGCAATGAGGGTTGAAGAAAATCAATGATATTTTTCCCACTTGGAGCTATAATTTTTTTTAAAAAATGTCACCGTCGTTCTCTTACATAATATTATTATATTTTACGAGAAAAAAAAAATAAAATTTTTTAAGACGAGGATATAAGAAATTTATTTTTCATAAATATCTTAATTCTGACTTATTTTTAACTGCATCATCTCAAAAATATTAATCAAATTAATTATAAGTTATTCCAAACATTGCTAATCGCAGGAGAAAAAAAAGAAAAGAATCCAAAGCCTCTTAAAAGTCCTGAATCCCTCTAACCAAACAATTTTAAATGCAAACCTAGCAGAGTGACCTTGACCGTACATTTTTCTGTCCTAGTTAATTGGAGGTGGTCTTACTTTGGTCACAGCTCAGAAGCGAAGAGACTTCTTAGTTCTTACTCTTTGAAACTTAGTTTCTCTGAGACTCCCATATTGCATGCAGAATGGCTATGCTGGTGATAAGGGTGGTGGTGGCTGTGGTGGTGTTGGTTCTCTTACTGGCGTTAGGTTCGCGGGCAGTGGATGTTCATCAGCTAAGGCTGGTGGCGGCCAAGTATAATGTAACCTCCATCATAGTTTTTGGCGATTCCAGTGTTGATCCTGGCAACAACAACCTTCTCGATACCAATGCGAAAGGAAATTTCCCACCTTACGGGGAAGACTTCTTTAATCACCGCTCTACCGGAAGGTTGAGCAATGGAAGACTTGCCACGGACTTCATCGGTAACCAAAAACCAGTCTTGCCATGTTTTACTTTTTTTGGTTTTTAGACCACATTATTATCCCCTTAGGCACGTAAATCGAGGGTGTTAAGAGAGATGAACTAGATATAAACCTAATCATTAACATTATTTGTACAAAGTGTTTACTCTCGAATTTGTTTTAATGTAGAGGAAAGAGATTGACTTAAGGGGTAGCTTGCTCTTTGTGCATTGGTGCATGCATGCACTTGAATCTATAAAAGATTGTTGGCTTCATATTCATCAAAGATATCTAGCACACCATCTACATCTTCATTTATACTTTCTTTCTTTTTATTAGGGACGAGATTACATATATTTGACACTCTTTAAACTTTTGTAATAGCGGAAGTTTTGTTCACGAGACTTCCTTTTTATGTCAAAAAAACTCATGCTCGTTCACTTTAATATATATATTTTCGATTTTTGTAGCCGAGGCATTAGGCTATACAACCATCATTCAAGGCTATCTTGACCCTCACAAAAGGAAAGCAGATCTTGTGCACGGTGTTAGTTTTGCATCAGCAGGTTCTGGCTACGATGACCTCACTGCTAATCTCCGGGTAAGTCTTCTATTTATCTGATAGTTATAGGTTAATAGCAGAATGTATAAATAGGTGGATCCAGATCCTTGGAATACTTTTTCTCTCCATTTTACCCGTTAGTAGATCCCTCACCATGTATACGTGAGAGACAAACTGACATGTAATTAAGTCATCAACATTACAACTACTCATGCTTAACTGGGATTAAGTTACAATCATGTTTGGATGCAACCTGCAAAGGTATATATCTCGGATGAGTACATCTCAAGATCAGTTTCTACCTGTTAAGTTTAAAGATCGCAAGAGACAAGTTGCTTAATTAACACGATACGCACGAGTTATGGGTTATTGCACGTATTTGGAGTTTATATTGTCGTTAAAAGTTTAAAAGGACAAAAGAGATCACGACAGTTGTCGATTATTGCAACAAGGAAAGAATAATGTTTGAATGAAATTGATCTTGTCTTGCTTCATACAGAAATGAAAATTTACTTACCCTTTTATGTTTTTAAATCCATGAACCAGAATGTGTTGACTATTTCCAAGCAATTAGAGTATTTCAAACATTATAAGACTCAAGTGAAGCAAATGGCGGGAGAGCAAGAGGGTGAAGAAATCCTCCAAAATGCAATATATCTTCTAAGCATGGGAACAAATGACTTTCTTCAAAACTATTTCCTCGAACTCAACCGCTCCGAGACATTCACAGTGGAACAGTACGAGGATTACTTGATCTCTTGCATGGCTCGTGATGTTAAGGTTCTCTCTCTATCTCTCTCTTACACACACAGTAGGCGCATTTGCATGCCTTTTTTTTTTTTTGCTTTGGGGTGGGGTGCACTCACCATGAACAAGTGTTTGTAGAGAAAAAAAAGTGAACTAAAATTTGCACTAAATCACTTGAGACTGTTGAATCAGTGAGTACGTATCATCACTAATCCAATAATTATAGTTGATTTGGTGCAAATTTTGGTGCACATAAAATTATCTTATGGAAAAGTCTCAAAGGTAAGAGTAATGTTATTTGGATCTAAAAATATGATCTTATTTCAAAGGTAAGTACTAAAAATCCACAAGTGTTTGCGTCTCGCAAAATATATATATCTTATTGGAATTTATGCAACCCAAAAAAGGGACACACTACCCTACTTAACCTTTGATTAATCCAATGTCTCAATCAAATGTTTTAGGGAAATGAAATGATTACAACCAAAAAAACACTAACCAAATGAATGTAAATGGTTTAATTTGCTGGTTTTATTAGATCTTAAAAAATTAATAGGACCCACTGATCTAATTATTCATGTTGATTTGATAATCTTTTTGGTAATTTGTTTAGTATAGAGTGAAGCTTTTAAAATGACAAATCTTGTTTTTGCAGGCAATGTATACCCTTGGAGTTAGGAGATTAGTGGTAGTGGGACTTGCCCCATTTGGGTGCACCCCACTTATCAAAACACTAAGGGACGACACCAAGTGCGATGCTACATTTAACAGTGTGGCCCTCTCATTCAATTCTAAGTTAAAGGCAAGGTTGGCAATTCTTAAGAAATCACTGGGGATGAAAGCTGCCTATATAGATGTATACAACATGGTTGACAAGACTATTCAGAACCCACAAAAATATGGTAAGTACAGCATGTAAGTTTGAGTTAATAATGACTTCCAATTAAATCAATTTCTTTAATATTAGACAAGTTTATATTTTATATCCTTATAAGTTTGCACCTGATTTTTACTTTGGCTTCCGTGTAATTAATTAAAATAATCGTCTCTCAATTTTAAATCATGTTTCAATCAAGTTTCTAAATTTTAAGCTATGTTTTTAAAGGATGAGCATCAAATGAGCGTCACGTGCGTGATCTAATTCGGACTATATGTACCATAATAATTTGTGTTTTCAAATTGAAAGTATTAACTCGTCCTTTATAGATTTGAGCTCTTCAATTGCTTGCTTTAACTCAATTTTTGTAGATTTATTTATTTGGTAAAAATTATTTCTATGAATGAGACACGTATAACAGATTTGGATAATGAAATGTAAATAAAACACCCTCGATTTTTTTTTAGTTGGTACATTAGAGCGAACTTTAGGGGTGTAAAATATAATTTACCGCTATAAGTTATTTTTACCAAATTTTTGTTAAATTTGGCAGGTTTCTCAGAGACTTCAAAGGGGTGTTGTGGGACAGGAACTATTGAATATGCTGGTTCATGCAAAGGGTTGAGTACATGTGCTGATAGAACAAAATATCTATTCTGGGATGCAGCTCATTTCACTGAAAAAATGTACAAGATCATTGCTGATGAGGCTTTGACATCAGTCATTGAGAGTTTGTTGAACTAAGGATCATAAGTTTGGGTAATTGGTATGGTATAGTGGTAATGTGATTTAAGGATATTTTGGTATTTGGCAAGAATTTTTAATTAGTATGTATGACTATTTATAAGTATTGGGTTGTGTTGTACTTCCATGCTATGTAGTCCAATGTACTTGTACCCTTAATTGTAGAATTCTCTCTCTCTCTATCTCTCTCTCACACACACACACATCAAGTAAGTTAATACTCTCTTTTGACTTTTGAGAGTCTAACTCGAAACCTCATAATAGATCTCCTAAAATTTTCTTATTTGAGATATAATGATAGAACTCATATTGAATAGAGATTCATATACTACTACCAGTTGAAGTCTATCGAGATGGTTTTTGGACACTTTTTTTTACCCCCACCCTTTTAAAGGAAAAAAAAAGAGAATCATATACTAATTGTTGCAACTAATCAAAAGCAGCTCTCTATGCTTGAGTTCACTCTTACTATATATAGTCATTCATGATGTTCTTAATATGATAGAGCAGTGATGAGAATATAAAGTGCACTGAACAATTAGGTTTAGTTCAGTTTGAACTTTAAGGCTCTTGAGAATAGAATCTAGGAAAAAAGGGGGGGTGATCAGACATAATGTTTATAGTGATTTATCAGTTCGGGAGCTCGACTAATCCACTCTCAAGGGAGTCTCTTACTCTTGAGTATATTGATCACTTGGGAGTTTACAGAAAGTATTTTAGTGAGGTTACAACGACTTGTTGTTTTTGTCGAGGGCATTGCCTCCTATTTATAGTTATCTCAGGGTCTGGCTTGATTTGAGACGAGATCCTTACCTCTATCTTGTAACGGTTACAAGATTTGCGTCTACTGAATAACTGTTGCTATAAAGGGTTACTTGGTGGAATCTAGTTGTCCTCTGCATAACCTTCCTTGAGAGGCAAACACAGGGAGTTTGAGGTTTGAAGTCGAGATCTACATCTATACTACTCTTAAAAGACAGCAACTTTGACAAACTTTTATTTTTCATTTATACCCTTAAAAAATACAATAATGTCATTTTATATCCTTGCAATTAAATTGAGATACCCTAAATAATGAATAATAATTTACTGCCTGTTTGCAACAAAAAGGACACCCCTTCAACTTTTTTTTTTTTCAGCTTTACTCTACTGCATGTTACTACGCCTCTTGAAGTGCCCAACACTGCTTCAGATGAACCAACCGACACCTTGTTAAAACCATAAATCCAAACTCCCTTGTAATCCTTGTTTCAGATAAATAGATTCGATGGACAATTCAACTTCAGTGCGAGCCTGTGATGCGTCCTCAAGGGAACTCTCATCCACTGCTGATGTTCCCAGTCGCCCCTCCTTAGATCACTCGAATTTAGGTATAACATATAATTCCATGGATTTTCTAATAATTAAACTTCCTTTTGGTAGCGATATCTCTAGACTTTTTCCTATATTGTTGAACGGAATTGGGTTACTTTTGGCATGGAGTTCATGCTTCTTATTCGTAACCCATCTTTGAGATATCTTTTAGGTTGACTTCTACTCGGTGTGTTTTTCAATTGATGCCCTCAAGATATTTATGAACAGATCAAAATCCAATTATGTAAAGAGCCTAATATATCAATAATATATATTTTTTCAATCAAGAGTGCTTTTCTTTGGCTGTTTTATTTAGAATTAATAAGCAATTTCTCACCTATTTCTCCACTCAAGTCCTTTTTAATGCACATAGATGTGCTCCAGATTTCTTTGCTTCTTAATTGTTCATGAAATGCTCAAAATTTCCAAAGAACTGACGGGCCTTTAGTCCAATGGTACTGTAACACCCCGCATTTTCTTTTATATATGTATATAGATATATAGTAAATAATTGTTGTAAAAATGGGGATATGTGTAGTGATGTGTGTTTGAATTTGGTAGAATGAAAAAGGGATGAACAGTGCACTGGCTGTAACATCAAGCTCGATTTCGACCTTGATGCAGTCCATATCTCTCAAAACTTAAAACATGAAATTTGTAGATCTCTCTCTTAGGATTCCATATCACCTTGAATCATCTCAATCGGAACTAGGAGGAAGGAGTTATGTCCATATTACGAAGTAGTGTCTACACTGTCCAAAAATCTGTCCGACAGACTACCTTTCGCTAATTTCATCATAACTCTTTATTGGAAAGTCCGAATTGTGCACCGTTATTTTTTTTAGAACCCTAACTCGTATATCTTTCCAACCATATAGGTTACACCTCCTAGAAATACCTGAGTCAAATCAATTTATTCTATGAAGTTGACCAAAAATCTGCACTATGGTGCTCCTTGGATAGTAAAGGGTTGTGCTTTCTTATTAGACCTTAAAGGTGTAAAACCCCATATGTTTACATTAATATATTAATGTACTTGTTTAGTGATTCTTCTATATGTAATGACTTAAGAATAAACCATATATATATATATTAAAATCGTAAGGATATCACCTATAGTAGTTCGAAGGAATAAAATAGAAATTTTAATGTTCCAAGTGTGAATTTATTTTAGTTTTGAAATAAATCATAAAAATCAATGTTTTTAGGTTAAAATAACATTAAAAATGAATCCGGAACGTCGAAAAACCTTAGGGTAGTCGTATGGATCAAATTGGAGATTTCTAGTGGCAAAACTGTAATTTTGGAAAAAAAACTCAAAATTCAGCCCATGAACAGTGATGTCGCGGACTGCTGTGTTTAAAACACAGAAACCAGCCCATTTCCTTCCATTTTTTCTCACATCTCTCACCCCCAAACCCCTTAGCACCCTTGGGGAAGATAGAGGAAAGGAGGAAAGGGAGAAATGAGGTCATTAGAGCTTGGGTTTGTGGTTTGAAACTTTGATTCAAGGTAGGGGTTTTTCTTCCATGCTTGTCCATTGAGGCTAAGGCTAATATATATATATGTTTTGACTTATACTTGTATGTATTTGCTAGGAATTCCTTGTTTCTTGATTTCTTGCAATTATGGCATGTCTTAAACAAAGTTAGGATTGATTACCCATGAAACTTCTTTTATAGCTTTAAAACCCTAGTTTTTGGGGAAATATGGAATTCTCTTTCTACATTTGCTCAAGCTTGGTTTTGAGAACTTTAGTGCTTTGTGTGAGTAATGAAAATGATGTGGTGGTGATCTCTTGTATTTTTCTAATTGTTTATTGAAATTGCCTCATAATGGATTTGTGGATCTTTGGAAATTTGCTTGTAAATTGGAGATTTATGGAATCCTTGGTTATGTGTGATGATTGTTGGGATGGTGTGATCTTGTATGGTTGTTGGAATGAACATGAATGAGAGGTTCCTTGTAAGGATGCTCATTCCATCTCAAGAGGTTCCTTGTAAGGATGCTTGAGAAACCAAATCTTGAGGGTGAGAGGTTCCTTGTAAGGATGCTCACACCAAAAGAGGACAGTATGTGATTTTCTCAAGAGGTTCCTTGTAAGGATGCTTGAGAAACCAAATCTTGAGGGTGAGAGGTTCCTTGTAAGGATGCTCCCATTAGAGAGGACAATATGATATCATGTGTGAGAAATGATTTATATTTTGGTAATGGATGTTTATTAGCACTTAGTTGAAATTGCTCCTTTCTATTACTGTTGTTACTTAAACTTGAGATTCGTGCCAAAGGAAATATAATAATCGACGGTGGAATAAGCGTTCCTTTTTGTATTATGGTGTTACTATTGCATTTCCCACAAGAGCTTGTGGAGGTATGGGACTCTACAAGAACTTGTTGAAAATGGTTATGGTTGCTCATTGTGACTTGGGTTTACTGTTCATTTAAATTATTGCGAATGTTTAAACTTGAGATCTGTTTCAAATGTCACGGTTTTACTTCAAATGTTATATGATATTTTGGAAAATAAGACCGAACTGTTTTACTTGTTTTCTAAACCTTGTATGAGTATGGAAGGAATGTTGCTACAGAGCTTAGTGCTCATCCCCTACAAATAATATCTTTTCAGATTTCGTCTATGAGGAGGAGTTACAAGTAGATGAACCAGTGCATGGGGAAGCTCCCCTAGAGGGGAACGGGGGTCCTGAACTGGATGCCTAGAGTTATATTTCTTTTGTACTAGACTAGAGAGTTTATTTTGAAATCATGTAAAGTCTAGTATTTTGTTATTTCACTGCAAGTGTAATTTAATTCTTTTGGAAATATATTTGTCATACTTGGCCTATTCTTTTGGGATGACATTGTGGATATAACATATGATGAATGAAAGTTTATTTTATGATGGATAAATAGACCCGGTGTGGTCAATAGTTATGCATATGTGGATCCGGTGTGGTCAATTGTAATATAATTGTACAGGTTGTGTTTTGGGTAAAGCTCCCCGTACAAAGGAGACTCTGCCCAAATTTTGTTAAAATATGAATGGTTGATGAATGAATTTTCGTCGTGATGAATTTACGTAATGCTCTCATGGGGTGAATGGTTTTTAGAATGTAATGTCACCCAAGGGGGTTTTTGGGGCGTTACAGGTACTACTTACCTTGTGAAGATTTTGCCTTCCTGAGTTTAAGGGTTCAAGCCCCTCCTCTTTCCCCTTTCCCCCAAAAAAAAAAAATTCACAAAGATGTATAATAAATGATAGAAAAATTAGTTTAAATCTATTAGTTTACTGGGTTGCATGTATATATTTTACAAAATGTTTACAAGGATATTTTTGGATAATCTTTGGGCGTCCAGCACCATTTTTCAAGCTTTGGCTTGACATTTTCTTTGGTCATAGGCAAAACCAATCCAAAGTGTCAAAATGTCCTTTCAAATGTTGGAAATTTTATTTGGTAAAAGTAAAAATTAAAGAGAGCCATGAAATTTACCTACTATTGAGAAGGCTTGGAACTGAGCTCAAATTTTAAATTGGAAACCTCTATGTATTTTCTTTCAAACAATTGCTTGAAGAGACAAGTGATTGGAGTATGATTTTCCTCTGATATTTGAAAAAGTGAATGTGGACCTCGAAATTTCAGCCAATCACT